TGAAAGACTTCTTCAGTTTGTCCGCAGTGGGGTCAGTGTAAGTTGTACTCTTCTCCCAGGGCCTGATACTTACACTGAGTAGAAAAGTATTCCACAAACAGTCCCACTGAAATAAATGAGAACTTCCACTATGGATAAAAATGCTATTTTTTGCCTTTCCTGTGAATGGATAAGGAACTACTGAGCCAAAGAATCAAGCCCAACTGTTTTGGTTAACCAGTAAGAACCAGCATATTGGTTTCCATTACAATTACACACTGGCTCCCAGGGAGCCAGCTTCACTGTAGGCTATGCAATATAATACTGCAGAGCCCAAAGTGAAGCCAGCTCCCAGAGAACCGAATGTCACTCTGCACTGCAGGCTCTACAGTATAAAAGCCTGCAGTGCATGGAACCAGCAGGATTTTTAGTGGTTACACAGATACCTTTTTAAACAGATTTTTACAAATTACTTTTATAATGGGGCTGCTACAGTAGAAAACAGAGGGTCCAACTAGAAGGCAAAAACAAAGTAACAGGTAACATGCTAAGTACTACCTTGTCTGTGCTGGTATCCTCCTTTTGTTTTCTACATACAAAGAGCTAAACATTAACCAATTATTTTGTCTATTATGCACATATAAAACAAGGCTTAGAGACTTCACTTACCCACTGTTTACGAGCATGATTTCTCCTCTTAAAGTACAAAATTAACTTCTTCCTCATTGCCTGGTTTCTAAAGCAGAGACAAAGGGGGAAAATATATCTGTTAACACATAAAATCCTGCACATCTATTCTGTTTTCAATACAAATACAGCAGTTTCTACCTTAACATTGAAATGGCAGAAAGTTCAAAGGGGTGGATGTGGTGCCCACAATAACAACATATATCGACCTGACTGTCACTTTGGAGCAAAACTCAGATATTCCCAGCAGTTCAGTTGCACAGGTCAAAGTCCTTGAGAATGCTCCTTTGGTAGCCTGCAGTTTGCTTTGCAGTATGCACTTCACCTGGGGTTAATCCTGTCATCACAGTGCCTGAGAGCTTATCTTTACTCCCCAGGGGAGTGATCAATCCACTGATAACCAATTTATCTGCTTAGACACAATGAACTGATCTCCAAGCACTCCTGTCAACTGCCCTACTCCACCAGGACGAGAAGAGTAGCTGGAGTCAGTGGGAGGGGAGCTGCCTGTGTAGGTTTGATTGATGGGGGGAGGGGGGGGAAGGAGGTCGTGTAGACTCAATAGTGAGTTTCCAGGATCAGGGCCATAGATTCTAACTCCACAAATTCTATAAATGCTCTTAAGTCACAATCCTGCAAACACCTGCTATTAGCCATGACCATGTGTGTTGGCGGACCAGACCCTTCATTTCCCAAGTCAGGAATGAAAGGTAACCACAGAACAGTAAGGGCGCGCAAATGAGCTTGGTGTGTATCAGCGGGATTTCCCTCTGAGCCAGTGGTGGACCACACTGCCGCTTCCAGTTTGTGGCCTATTGGAGTTGAGTAGGCCTGGATCCCCCTACTGGGGATGCCGCCCCACCTCCACTGTCTAGTGACCGTTCCCTAGGCATTGGCCATTAGGCCACACATGGTCAATGTTCTATACACTTTGGCCATTAAGCTGAGCTGCCCTGCAAACCAGGGCTATTCTGTAGAACATGGCCATTAAGCCATGCTGCTCTGCAAGCAAAGGGCTACTCCAATGACTCTAGCAATTAGGCCACGCTGGATTGACTTAGGTCTCCAACAGACCTCCCTGCAGGACATGGGCGGCGAGTTATATGGGCTCGTGGTGCCCATGCTCCAGCAATATTCAGAGCCGGCGGCCCTCCTCCACCAATATTTGGAGCTGGGTCTCTCCCCCAGCTCTGAATATTGCTCCCCCCCCCTCCGGCCCCAGAGCATCCCCGGAGGAGAAGAGGACTTGTAACGGGGCGCCCACAGCCCCAATGTGACGGAGCGCAGGGGCTCCACCACTGGACTTACGCCATGGCAAGCTGCCGCGGCAGGATGCCCTACCCCAGTGCCCTTGTGGCGCATGCGCATACCACAACAGGGGTGATGGGATTTGGAGGCCTCGCCCCTGGGTGGACACGGCAGCAAGCAGGTGTGGTGGGCCAGCCCCGCCCCCACACCCATGCGGCACATGCTCACACCACGTGCCAGGTATTTTAAATGCCAGCGGCATGGCAGACAAGGGGGAGGGAGTCCACCCAGGCCCAGACCCAGTGCCCCAGCTCTGCGGAGAAGCCGAGAGCCCAGCCTTCACAATTTGGGAGGGAGGGGTGCGAC